AGTAACCACGCCCCCGGTCAGGCCACGCCCTTTCCTCTTTTTTCTTCACTCGCCATTGCCATCTATGCTCAGGCAAGCAGACAGCCGTCAACAATGTGTGCGATTCTAATGACCTTCCTCCTACTGTCACTCGGTGAGTATTTTCAAATACAATCACGAATTTGTTTCATATACGACTGTAACGTATTATTCCGTCTAGGTGGCGGCTGGGCTCGGAGCGAGGAAGTGCACATTGTTTGGGGTGTTTTGGGTGACAATTGCTCATTGCCATGCACTGCACAGGTCAAACCAGGAGTGCAGTACTTGTCTGTTAGTTGGTACAAGGTAAATGGCGTGCATTGACTGTTGGACTATTTTTTTATTTCGTTGTTTACCATTGTCTTTGCTTTCACGCTTTCACTTTCGTTTGTGTGTGTCTGTGCGCGCGCGCGCGCGCACCACTTTTACTTTTGTTATTACTATTCCCAGTAATCATCTGCAGTGGGCTTTGAATTCCATCTAAAAATTAAAAAAAAGCCGCCTATGTTCAAACATAGGATACAGTCGGATCCATCCATTTTTAAATCCGCAAATCCTCTAAAAGCAAGGTTGTCCAAACTCGGTCCTCAAGGGCCTCTGTCCTACCTGTTTTCTAGTTGTCCCAGGAGCAACACACCTGATTCAAATAATCGGGATTGTTCTAATGCTGCTTCAGAGTTGGCTGATGAGCTGATCATTTGAGTCAGGTGTGTTGCAGCCAGGAAAGAAAACAGGCAGGATGATGGCCGGCCTATCTCAGCAGTCTTCTGACAGTAGGTGGGATACACCTTGAATGAGTTCCCTCAAAATTAAAAATTTCCCAAACATTATTGTATTGTTGGGTGAGACCGTGGCCGACTCATTGGCACAGTGTTAGCGAAGTGCGGTTCCTCAAGAGTCATGTCTTGCCTGTTTTAGAGCTTTCCCTATTCCGACACACCCGATTCAATTGATCGTGATCATTTCAGGCTTTGACAGAGCTTGCCGATGAGCTGCTCGTTTGAATCAGGTGTGCTGGAGTCTGGCTCACTTAAAAATGTTAAATGCAAAATTGTTGACTAAAATCGTAAAATGAAGTAAATATTTTGCAAAGAATAAAAACTGAAAAAATAATTAATACATTTAGATTCAACAATTTTTGTGGAAAATGGCTACATTAATCCAACAAATATGACAGTAGTCTTGATCATGTCAACAAAACACCTAGCCCAGGGGTCGGCAACCCGCGGCTCTGGAGCCGCATGCGGCTCTTTAGCGCCCTCCTGTGGCTCCCTAGAGCTTTTTCAAAAATGTTTGAAAATGGAAAAAGATAGGAGGGAAATACTTTTTTTTTTTAAATATGGTTTCTGTCAGAGGACAAACATGACACAAACATTATTAACGTTTTCCGATGCTGTAAAAATGTGTCGAATGAATATTAAATGTCAACATTTCGTCGACGAATATTTGCGTCATAGCCTGCGACACACGTTTCTATTAGCAGGGCGGGATGTCAGTCAGAGAGGGGGGGTTTTTTTTAAAAAAAAAAAAAAAAACCCCTAGCCTACGTATACATCAATCTAACGGAAAAGGCTAGCCACCGCTACATTCTCAGAGGCTCACCGAACCGTGTCGATGTGACAGATGGAGCTGCGCGGCAACCCACCCACGCCGCAACGCCGAGGCCTAGTGTTGCGCGATCTGCCCGACGGCGCGGTCGAGCGCTATGTGAGCCTGACGCGGGAGGTGATCCTCAACAACGACACCAACGACATCCTGCTGCCCAACGTCACGTGCCGCGACAACATCGCGTACAAATGCCGCCTGTACGCACCCGTCGGGGAAAGAAACCTAGAGGGAGAGGTGGTCCTCAAGCTGTCAGGTGCGACTTACCGGAAGCATTCGACTTGTTGTACCGCCGTCCCTAATTTTGAATTTACGAGTCGCCATTTGGTCGACTTATGGAGCGATTCAGTTACTGTGATGCCCTCGTAAGTGGGCAAGGGGAGCCACAGTCACATGTCAACTCTTTATTAAAATTGTAAAGTCAAACAAAAATCTAAAAATGAACGGGGAAATCCCAGCTCCAGTTCCCATCGTGAGTGTGATGCGGGGGTGGGGGAACTTCTGGGCAACTCTAAAAAAAAGATTCATTTCTGGAGCTTCTCTTTTTTTCTTATAATCAAAACACGGATGAAGTCACTTGACTATCCATGAGACCACTAATCATTGCACTTATTTTTTGACCATTTACAGATTGCCCCGGCATACCCATTGGAGTCCTGAAAATGAATATTGAATGGATCATTTTGCTTTCTGCTGTAATGATCCTGACACTCTTTTTCTCCCTGCTGTCTTATGTAAGTCACACACACAAAAACGTAACACACACACACGCACATAAAAAAAAAAAGCCGCCGCCAGGAATTTCAACAGTAATGTGTTGCTGCTTTGTGTGTGTTAAAGTAGCAGTTGTTTTCTGATCTATTTTCATTTCCGTTGGCCCGTCTGTGGCGTTTCACATGATTTGTCAGCAGACGTCCATTTGAAAAAAATATGGGAACATCTTAGTGTTGAAAAAGACGATGTGTACTCGTCTCGAGTCCTATGCGTCAGTTTTACAGTCAACGTCAGCTACGAGGGGCAAACAAATTGAAGCACGCACACCGGGCGTCGTTTATGGGGTCTTTTTATTTCCTCAAAGAGGTGTGATCGTCTCCCATTTCGCGAGTGAGAGCGAACAGGTGCTCATACCTTCAAAAGTGTTTTTTTTTTTTTTTTTGTCATTTTCAGCTTGATTTAATATTTTAAAATGTGTTGAAAATGTGTGGGAGTTGTGAAGCTTTTTGATTTTTGTTTTTGTTTTTTTTTTAAGGTATAGTCTTTCTTCAACTGTTACGGGCTCATCTAACTTCTCATTGTTTTTCCCAAATATGACTGCTTGAGCTGTTTTTCATGTTGATGTGCATTTCTAATAAATAAATAAAATAAGAACACTATTTCCTATCCCCACAGTGCCTTTTGAGAAAGCGCCGGCAGGACCAAAAAAAAGGGTGGAAAGATGTCAAAGCGTCACTGGGCGCCATATGAGAGTTTGCCAATGGATCTCCAGGTTGTGTGCCGAAACATCCATGCGTCCATCCCTTCTTCGAGCCGCTTATCCTCACGAGGGTCCCGGCCGGGCGTGCTGGAGCCGCCCCGGAGCAGTAGGCGGGGTACACCATGAACTGGTTGCCAGCCAATTGCAGGTCGCACGTAGACAAACACCCATTCACACTCACAAACACACCGAGAGACAATGTAGAGCAGGGGTGCCCAATACGTCGATCGCGATGGATGGTAGCTCAGGGACTGGTCTTGAGTTGATCACGAGGGGTGTTGAGGAAAAAAAAAGTGTGTCTATGTGGGTGTTATTAATATGATATTTTTTATTTTATTTTATTATCAGTCTCACTTTTGCAAAAAAAAAAATAAATAAATAAAATCACAAAAGCAGGTCACCTTTAACCTACGGGGGCGCGTGACCTGCATCGCCGGAAGTTGTTAGCGGCCAATAGTCTAGAATTGCAGCTTGCGATTAGAGCTGTTGCGCTCTGTCTTTTATTGTTTTTATTCTCATTCAGACTTTGTTTCATGTACAATTCGCCGAGGCCATTGGCAAAGAATGGAAATTTGGGGGGCCGGAAGAAGCACTTTTACCCTGGAGAACCCAAGAACCCTTTTCTTCTTTGGAAAATGAAAAATTGTACATTAAGTAACTGCTATATGTTCACTGAACACCAAAATATATGGGTTTTTTTTTCAAATATTTAATGCTTTAATCCTAACTTACGATTAGGGCCAAATTTGACCCTGTGGGTTCTCCAGGGTTAAACCCAGCCGCTGGGGAGCAGTTCCCTCCCCTGGGGGTACACTGTTCCCCGGTGCCGGTCCCAAGCCCGGAGAAATGGGGAGGGCTGCGTCAGGAAGGGCATCCGGCCTAAAACTTTTGCTAAGACGGACATGCGAGTTGGTAGGGCGGTTTGCAGGGACGGATGGGAATTAATGACTCGCTGTGGCGACCCCTGAAAAGGGATGTGCCGAAAGGAGAAGAAGAAGAAGTTCTCCAGGGTTAAAATGAACACGCCGCAACAGTGCGTCCCATGCCTCCGCGCCGGGTTTCGACGAAGGTGGGCAGGGATGTCCTTTTCACAAACCTACAAACTCTTGCGTGTACTTTAGTTTTCTGTTTCGTTCATCTTAGTTGCTCATCAGGGCATGCGTGTGTAAGTGCGCGTCTGTGAGGTAACGGGTCAATCGTGGAGGTCGGTTCATCGAAAAATAGATGTTCGGTAAAAAAAAGCTTGGGCACCCCTGATCCGTGAATGATCAGTTAACCTACCATACATGTTTTTGGAATGTGGAAGGAAATCCCGAGTACCTGGATAAAACCTACGCAGGCATGAATAAAATATACAAACACTACACAGGAAGGCTGAGACCCGGATCCTAAAAAGACTTGACTAAAATGACAGAAAGATTTAATAACAAAGAATAAGCAACAAGTGCTCTATAAATACCATTAAATTGAGTTGAGAACATGAGGAGCAAGTATAATAGATAGATGACCGAATGTCGTGACATTAAAGTGTCAAAAAGAAAAACAAAAAGAAAGCGTAAGATGGGAAAAAATATATATTTTTAAACTCTTTCAGGGACAGCGGTTACGACAGTGGACAGTTAATGTTACAGGGTGCATGAAAGGGTTAAACACCCTCGATTCCTCAAAAAGTGGTGATAAACCTCCAACGTGTGTTTACCACCAAAAACAGAACCTTACAATGGGCAGAATTTCTCGGCGCAGCCGAGGCGTTGAGGGGGTTTGGTAGCCTCACTCTTGCTTCTCTGCTTTTAGCCAATGAGGTGGTGCTGTTGGCTTCTTGGAGCCGGCCGGGATCCCCAACTTGAACTGGAGCATTTCGCAGCCGAGTGTGAATCGGTTGGGATGATCATCGGAACCTTCAAATCTCTGCCCTCTGCGGGTCCAGGATGAAGGAATTTAAGTATCTTGGGGTCTTGTTCACGAGTGAGGGCAGGAGGGAGCGGGAGATTGAAAGGCGGATCGGTGCGGCGTCGACTGTTGATGCGGACTTTGTTGTGGTAAAGAATGAGCTGGGCCAAAAAGGCGAAGCTCTCAATTTACCGGTCGATCCGCATTCCTACCCTCACCTATGGTCACGAGATATGTGACCGAAAGAACGAGATCGCGAAGATAAATGGCCAAAATGAGTTTCCTCTGCAGGGTGTCCAGAGGCTCTCCCTTAAAAATAAGGTGAGATGCTCTGTCATCCGGGAGGGGCTCAGACTTGAGCCGCTTCTCTCCATCTTCGCGAGGAGCCAGATGAGGTGGCTCGGGCATCTGATTAGGAATGCCTCCTGGACACCTCTCTGGTGAGGTCCCACTGGAAAAAACAAAACAAAAAAAACAACAAAAAAGAAAAACAAAAAAAAAACAAAAAAGTAAAAAATTGATTAAAAATGTGTTGAAAGAAAAATGTGACTGGGTTATTCCATGACTGCTAAAACTGCAAGAATGTGGGAGTCCACCTTAAATCGGTTTACCACGAAACATGAGGATTAGCCCCCACCCCCACCCCAAAAAAAACAGGAAAAAATAAATTTAAAAAAGGTTGAAAAAAAATGACGGGGTGATTCCGTGGATGCCAAACTGCGAGTATGTGGGGGTCCACCTTCAATATCTGTTTCCCACGAAAGACGAATATTAGCCCCCCCCCCCCCAAAAAGAAAAAGTGTTAAAAAAACAAAAATAAGAAAAATGGATTTAAAAAATGTTGAAAAAAAATGACTGGGTGATTCCGTGGATGCCAAACTACGAGTAGGTGGGGGTCCACATTTGATAGGCATTTTCTGGCTCCGGCCTTCCTGTGTGGAGTTTGCATGTTCTCCCCGTGCCTGCTGGGTTTTTCCCGGGTACTTCGATTTCCTCCCACGTTCCAAAAATATGCAGGGCAGGTTAATGGAAGACTCTAAATTGCCCTCTTGGTGTTGTGAGCGCAAATGGTTGTTTGTCTATGTGTGCCCTGTGATTGGCTGGAAACCGGTTCAGGGTGTAACCCGCCTACTGTCCGAAGACAGCTGGGATAGGCTCCAGCAATCCCCGCGACCCTTGTGAGGATAAAGCGAATCATAATATGGAAGAATGGATGGGTAACTAGTCCCAAATTAATGTCCTGCCTTCCTTCCTTCTGTACAACAATAAAGACGTCAAATAACCCCCCAAATCTCACGTGTGAAATGAATTGACGAAGAGGAAAATGAAGATTCAAATTTTTTATTTTATTGAGGATTTTTTTTTCTTTTCTTTCCACTTTGGTTTGTTTTCATTAATTATTTCGAGACACCAAAAACAATTGGCGGCATGTTTCTCACGTAATTTACAAAAAACAAATTCCATACCGATGGTGTGTGGCTTTTGACAGTTTCCTATTTCCTGCAACGACTCAAATCGAAACAGATGACAAAAAAACGTGGTGACATTCACTTCCTTGTTTCACTTCACTGGTTAGGATGTCTCATAAGTCTTTTTACCTTACATGAAAAAAAAATCACAGAAGTGGAAAATATGAAATTTAGGGATAATTTTAATGTAGTGGAATATCCCTGTCCTCTGATTTTGCTGATTTGGTCATATGGAAGCATTCAATGCAATCAAATTTCAGCTACGCTTGGTCACAACCGACGTAAATTATTAGATAAATCAAATAAGGTCGTAGTTCATTTATGTGTTGTCGTGGCCGAGTGGTTAAGGCGATGGACTAGAAATCCATTGGGGTCTCCCCGCGCAGGTTCGAATCCTGCCGACAACGCAAGGCACATATTTTATGCAATTAGTTTGTGTTACTAATTTGTTTTTCCTACCCTTACATATTTACATTTGTAACGCTTTTTTCAAGATGTTTTATTATTGATCGGATATTTTAACCATTGTCATTTGTTGTTTCCGATGTGCTTCATGTACTGTTTAATACAAAAAAGCACATACAGTTACTATTAATAAACTGTTAATTGTCATTTCTTAAGTTCTTTTATTGTTTTCATTTGAATTGACACAAGTTAGACACAATAGCGACATTATTTTTCCCGAAGGGTTGATTGCGCATTTCTGCAGTGTGACGAAGCTACATAAAGCGTCGTCCTTAAACTGGTACGATTGTACTTTCTTTTGAACTTTCAAAGTACATGAAAGAGGTAAAATTGTTGTACTTTAAACTGCAAGAAAAAACCCAATAAATAAGCCTTTAATGAATCGAAAATACATTTCATTTGAATATAAGAGAATTGTTTGAATTTCAATTTTTCGAGACAAAATAAAAGAATAGTATAAACATTTACTTCGAAGGATTGTCTGTGCATGTCCGGTTTACGACCGCGTTACTTAGCAACGTCAAATGTTGTCGTAAAAGCGATTTAGTTAGCTTGTAGCGCTAATGGAGCTAAAGCCGCCATGGATGACGATCTGGATGAGTTGTTAGACGAGGTGGAAAAGAAGTTTTGTCGCAACATTTCCGTCAGCCTGGCGAGTCCCATGAAGGATGGCAAGTGCGGTAAAGACTCCGGCGAGCGTCGGAATGTCGGGTATACCAAGCTAATGTTGCTAAAGCTAATGAGCAGAGATGGCATTTTCCTGACGTTCTATAAGTGTAGCTTTCCTATGTGGCTCATTTTATTGATGTTATTTTTTAACGGCGAGTCTTTCATAGCTTAATTAGTATACATTGTGCCACCAGATGTGGGCAGAAGAAAAACAGCATCACTGAGGACATTGACGCTCTCCTGGAGGAATTACAGGAGGAAGACCTCAGTCATGCACCTCAGGATAAGGTGAATACTTCGGGATGAAAATTGTTTCCATCAGACGACCGAGCCACGACTCAATTGAACACTTGAGTAAAATAATCTTGTTTCTATAAATGTCACAGTATTTTTAAAAATCTTTTCGTTTGCATGATCCCTTGCAATTCCTCCACTGCACGCTGTAAAAACAAATCTATAATTGTCGATCCCTGGGGTATTATGGCTAAAGCAAAAGATAATAATGTCAGTTTTAAGATTCTGAATGCTAATTGACTTGGTTAAATCTATTTTTGCTCATTTAATGTCAGATTGCGCCACCTCCCAAAAGAAATCGGGACGACCAGATTCATTCTCAGCCTGGAGGAAGAAAGTGAGCTAAATGAGCGGCCCAAATATTCTGAAACTCCTCCGGTTTAATGCCCCAGCCCTCCCTCCCTCCATGCATCCATCCAGGTGCTGTCCTATTTACCTCGGAGGAAGTGCCGTGGCAAAAGGAGTGGGAACGGCCGCATCCAAGAGGTGCCAAAACCCAATATTTCTTCAATGCTGAGCTTTAATGCAATTTAAAACACATTGCAATGACCACTGGACGTGTGCGGGCAGGTCGTGTGACCAGCTGAGGTGCACCTCCTGCGACTTCCGGGTGTTGACGTTTGACAACTGCGAGTGGGACTCGTCATGCGATTACCTTTTCTTCAGGTGAGTCTAAACCACACTTTTCATCGACAGTGGTGCCTCTGCAACTACCGCCTATTTTAATAATTTATTAATCTGTCCATTATTTTTTTCATTTAATCAATGAATTTGATTTTTTTTTTAAATCCATGATTTAAAAAAATCCATCTGTTTATTCAAAAACTGCGCAGAAAAGGCACAAGCATAATTTGATTATGATGACATTTTTATTTAATTTGCATGTGCAATACATTTCACTTGAAAACATTAAGTACTTTTTTCCCCCCCCAGTGTTAATGTTCAAACTTGACATACTGTGGTGTGCAGTATTATTCAATATACTTTTCATATGTGCAGGAACAACATGCCCGACTGCAGGAAACTGGGAGCCAAGCTGAGGAAGCGAAGAGGCTTCCGGGCTTACGCTTGCCAATGTAGCTGGTTTACCGCCTCAGAGGTCACGGACGTGTTGCTGAAACCACATCTTAGATGGGTGTGCGCAAGACATCCGGACTAAACCGTCTTCATATGCTACTCGCAAAAAATAAATAAATAAATAAAAATGTACACACCTTGCTGTCCTCTAACGAACATCTGAATAGCAAAATTCACCTTTTGGGGGAATATACAAAAACATCCACTTTTTTGTCCATTTGTGACACTTCTTAACTTTTGGTGAGTTGTTTATCATCAACACGGCAACACCTCCTGTCCGGATCGGATTATTATGAGATGCTGTTTCACAAACATTATATTGTAATGCATAATATGAACACTTACTAAACACTTGAACCAGTCTACCGAGTTGACAAACTCCATCGTGCTGCTTCTCCAACCCAATATTGTCAATAAAACAGTAGCTGTGGCATAAGATGCATTTCATAAAATACAAGTGATAATTATGACAGCTTTTTGTCTTTTGACATTTTTAATGAGCCCACAAGATTCTCATTGAATTTGCTTTGTTGAAATGATTAAGAACATTTAGTTTTTTATCTTTGTAGAGTCATTTAATCTCAGGATAGGTTCATGAGAAGGTGAAATACATCGTGTGACAAATTGAACATCAATTTTCCAGTGTTACAACCTTCATTGAGCCAAAATTGCTACAGGAGGTATGTACAGTATATTAAAATAATAACTATATCTCCTCAATTAACTCATAAAATAACTTATCGTATACAGTACATGCCATGTCGTTTTTCTGTTGTATGAATGACAATAACAAGTGCAGACTCAACTCTACGCTCTTCCGTCTGGTAGAAGAGGATTTCATTTTTCGGCCTTTCACTACACTCCACTCACCGGTATGGACAGATGAATAAAGATACATTATTGACGGTCAGTAAATACAAAACCTGATCTATTTCCTGTTCGTCCTCCAGTCCAGTTGGTGGCGCTGTAACGTAGAAGGCGAACCGGAAAAGAGCTAACAAAAATTAACACGAGGAAAGAGATGGAAGATTCCGAATTTGATGAGCTTATAGATGACTGGTTTATCGAATCGTTGAAAACGTAAGTCATTTAGAAGGTTTGCTTGCCGACCTTTAAGAGCTAGCGTGTTTTTTTTTTACCTAAAGTAACGAGCACTGCTAGGAAATACGAAGAAATTAGCATACTAAAATTAGCGTGAGGACGTCTGCGGCTTTACATGTTGAACTCGCTGCGAATTTTTCCGAGTTTTGCAAAGCATCTAGTCATAACGCGAGTTTCTTTTACGACACGAAATTTAAATTTGTTTCAGGATTCAATTGCACATAACGCTTATTTCGGCTCGATTCTCCTCGTGGTTTTCAGGCTTCTCGGTCGTCTGCGGCTTTGCTGTCTACCACGACGATTTCTTATGTTACAGCACGTTTAATTTAAAACGCCCTAAGTTCTAATCGATTTCTTATTTTTGTCTTGCCTCTTACTTGAGCGATTCGTAGCCTGGCGGACGCCTGCGACTCTACAGCTTGAACTCCATTCGGAATTACTCTAAATTTGAGAGACTTATTAATCATTACTATTTTCTATATTACATTTCTTATTAGACCAACTCGTGTTTTAAATGTGTCTATTTCGTATGTTGGCCAGCCTTTGCCGATGCCATTTGCTTTACGCAATAATTTAAGTCTCCTCTCGAAGCTAATGTCATTGAATTAGATGTTTTTAATTCGTGCCACAGTAGGGAAATGGCTGTCTTTTTGAAAGAACATTTCTGAATGTAAAACTCATGACCCTGTCTTCTCTGTTTGTTGTGCAGGTACAGGGACCTTTATGTGTATCAGCTGGAGTTTCCCACCCGAGTCATCGAGTGGACGTCAGGGAAAAGTGAGTAAATCCATTTGCTAAAGCCTTTTCGATCATTGTTAGAAAAAAAAAAAATGGACTGGAAGTATGGCTCCGGTGTGCCTGGGAATCACCCAAATCCTGGCAACTACCTCACCGGCGGAAGCATGCCAAGCAACTATGGGTACGAAATACCCTCCAGTCATCTTCCTCCCGGATTCCCCTGTGTTCTCCCACCTCCGCAACCTCCTCCTTTGGGCTACTTCCCCAACATTCCACCTCCGCTTCCGACGTATCCACCAGTAGTGCAGAATTATCACTGGAATCCGCCAAATACCGACTTCCAGGCACCAAGTGAGATTTGTCCTGAGTCTCCCGTGGATGAAAAAGCTCTCCAGAGGAAGCAGGATGAACAGTGGCTTAGTCATTTCTTAAAAAGAAGATCCAGGGAGACTAAGGAAGACGCTCAAACGCAGCAGCCGCAATCTTATCCAGATTTCGGAGACGTTCTAAGCGACGCCGCTGGTCTCGCTTCCCGGATGTCCGAGTTCTGCCAAAACCTCACGAACAACCTGCACGAGGACGGTGCCGCCTGGGCCACCACTTACGAGGACGCCGTGCGTCTAAAACAAGACCTCCAGGATAAACTGTCGCGTCTGGCCGATGGATTTGAAGCTAAAAAGCGGCACGTGGCTCGGGTGCGAGAGCGGCGGCTGAAAAGCAGGCAAAAAGCAGAGCTGTTCCAAGCCGAGCGGGAGGTGCGGCGAGCTGAGAAGGAGAGTGCCGTGGACAAGTGGCGGCTGCGACAAATCCACCAGGCGGAGGAGGAGAAGAAGGAACGCGAGCTGAAGCTGGCGGCCGACTCGGTCTTGTGCGAGGTGCGCAAGAAGCAGAGCGACATCAAGCGCATGCAGGACGTCCTGCGCTCGCTGGAGAAACTGCGGCGGCTGCGTAAGGACGCCGCCTCCCGCAGGGGCGTGAGCACCGGGGAGGACGAGGATGTGGCGTTCCAGCGCCAACTGGACGGGCTGCGGCGCGTCATCAAGGCCAGGACGCACATCTACACGGCAGAGGAGAAGGCGCTGACGGTGATGCTGGACGGCGTGCAAGAGGAAGAGCGGCGGGCTCTCAGGAAGGACAGGGAGAGGCGGCAAAAGCACAAAATGGACGCCATGCTGTTCGGCGAAGAGACGCCTGTCGCTGACGCCCTGCGGCCCTTTACGGAGTACTACGCCCACGCAGAGTCTTCGCTCCACGCTTTGCTTCACGTACGGCAACAGTGGGACGTCTTCCTGGTGCCGGATGATCATTGCGATGGGACGACAATCCCGACGGACTGGATCCTGCCCCAGCCGCCCTCCCACCCCG